GTCAGTCAATGCATAAAGAGGAAGACTGGGGTTTCTCTGTCCTGAGTATAAATATAGCTCTCTTTGCATCATCATTTGTATGAGGTGTGATGCACGGTGCCTACATAACAATACTTTCAGCCTTCTTAGCCCCTAAAGCTTTCTTCAAATTCTGGCACTATGTGCTGTTTTCGCTCATACTACCACTTGAGATTACAAGTGACTGTAATAATATCAGTTGGTTTGGGTTGGTTTTGGTTTGTTTTTGTTTTTTGAATTTTTTTCTTTGTTTGTTTTGGTTTTGTTGGGTTTTTAGGGGGAAAGAAAGGAACCTTCCCCCCCCCCCAAAAAAAAAAAACCAACACCAAAACCAAAAAACAACAATAAACAAAGAAACAAACTTACAGCTGTTGTGTTTAGAGAGAAAGCCTTGAAGCGAGTATAAGAAGAATATTTAAGAATTTGTGAGGAATGTGCGCATAAACCAGAAGCATCTAAGGGGAATATTGAACTTTTCAGGATTTTAATTCTTCATAGTAGCGATACAAACATTGCCACTATGTGTAAGGCTACAGTTTAAGAAGTCACTGTGTAGCGACACGGAGGGGACTATGGTAAATGGATATCATTTGTCTTTGAATTTTGAGGTTTCCCACATTTTAAATGGTGTAAGTATGAGCTGGTCCATGCTGCCTGCATGAGCCCTAATGGCACTTACACAGACTAGTTTAACTGCTGACTGGTCACTAGGTTGCCATATGAAAAGACATGAAAATTAGATTCTTGCCACTGATGTTATTACATCTTTTAGTTATTATTACAAATATGTGACTATTAAATATCACCCTTTCTTTAAAAAGCTCCTAAGCCTTTAATATTTTTGTTTCCTTACAATTAACATCTATTATTTTTATTGGAAAAAAAATGCAAAGCTGAATAATACCCTGTAATAAAATGTGTAAATAAGTAAAAAGCTGAGGAATCAGTGTATAATAATGGTTGCTTTGCTTTTTTTCCTGCTCAGTAGCAGTAAGAACCACAGGCATTGGCTGGATGACCATCTGCAGCAAGGACAAGGAAAGTCATAGCAACAGTCAGCAGACAAGCTTTGACAAAAAATGCAAAGGGTCAAAACAATGATTTCATTAAGCAGATACTTTCAGAATTATCTCTTCCTCACTCCAAAAGCTAGGAGACAATCTGTAATTTTAGCTTTTGTTCAATAACAATATGGGGAAGAAAAGCCCAGCAATAGGTTACAAATTTTGGATAATAATGTTAGGACTTAATCAGGTGTGTTTTGAGTGCTATATACTAACTGGAGTTTTTATTGTTTTTAGGTTATTGTCAGGATTGCAGACCCTATTTCACCTTAAAATACTTGTTTCTTTTTCTTTTAATGAAGTGAAGATATTAACCTTTATTTTAAAAACAGAACCCAATTTTCTGGTCTACCTGGTTATAAGAAAGAGTAAATGTGTGTATGCAACTTCACAACTTCACAAGCTAAGAAAGAGAAAGTAGAGAGAGTCCTCTTTTTTATTTTGTTTGGGTTTTTTGGGTTTTTTCTTTTTTGGGTGTTTGGGTGGGTTTTTTGGTGGGGGGGGTGTTGTTTGTTTTTTTTTGGTAGGGGGTAGTGTTTTAAATAGCATTAGAAAATAAATGCTATTTTGGATCTGTGTGGTGTATGACTCAAGAATCTTTGGAGTTGACAGACTCTTTTGCTTCCTAGTGGTCTGTTCATATGTGTCTTCAAACTGGAACAAGTAGGTAGTTGTATAAGTATTTGTTTTATGTTAGTGTGCATTTTGACAGCCTGAATACAGACTGGGGTGATTTGGGGTCTTAAATCCAAGAGTCTCTTTTGCCTATGATTGAATTAGCAGACTGTATGTGCTTTAGTTAAGCACTTACAAATGTGAATTTATCAATTTTAGAAGGCAAAAAAAATAACGATGTGCCTTGGGAGGTTTAAAAGACTGGTTTTCCCCCTTTACAAGGAATCAAAGGATCGGTGAGGACTCTCTTTTTAAAGAGGTTTAATATCTGAGATATGCAGGGTTTTTTTCTGAAACCAGTTCTTAAATTTTTCACCAATTAGATTTCATATGACACTTTTTGTATACAGAGCAATAAACTGTAGCTTGAATGTTAACCTTGACATGTCCATGTTCAGAAAATGTGTCTGAGGTCCCTAGATCTGCTACTAGAAGTGAAAATTCCTTTTTGCAGATGGGAAGAAACATAAACAAATAAATCACATAAACCTGAAGAACTTGAGAGAACAAAGACTTGGGAGTAAAACCTAACAGCTGCTCTCAGCTATAAGACTCCAAAACAAGCACCCACAATAGTCTTGGTCTGTCAGTTTATGACATGCCTTGTGAACAACTGAGATTTAACATTCTGTCAAGTTCCACCCTTCAATAGTGCCTTCCTTTTCTGAAAAGTCAATATTTCTTGAAAAAGCATCTGAGCTCTTTTGAAGTAATTTTGCTAGCTTTCTGAGATTGGGAATTCAGATATTTGAGGAGGGATAAGTACTAATGAACTAAACTTTCTGGTTTCTTGGGGTTTTTTCAGCCTTTTTTTTTTTTTTTTCCTTATATTGAGAATACCTTTCCATATTCTGCACATTGTCTGAAACAGCGGGAAGATCAGGGTTGCTGCTCAAGAGACTGTTTGACTCCTAAGGAGGGTTTGGGTTTTTCTGGAAGCCTTGTTATAACATTTTTGTTCTTATTTGAAATCTTAACTGAATCATCACAAGCACCTGAGAAATATGTACTGCACTACCTACAGTAAGACTTACAGCAATGACTGCTATATTTTAGAGATTCACAGCAAGCAATTTCCTCATTTTCATTGAAAACTGTAAAATGTTGCCCCTTTCTGCATAGTGCATGTTCAGTAGAATTCTTATCTTTGTAATCACTATCATGGCTTGTACTGGTCTCTAACTTGACCTAATAAAAAATTCATAAATAACACTGGTATTCAATTTTAGACTATCTTCATTACCTTTGCCATACTTTGTTGGCTCAGAAGTGTTATTTGAATGAGGATCAAAGCCTGTGGTTTAGACACAGAAACTTATTTATCTACAAAAGGATAGTTTTACAATGTCTAATTACATTTCTTTTAGAAGAGCTACACATACTTTGAAAATGAACTTCAAACGTTCTATTTTTCCATGACAATGAAATTATTCAATTGATGTTATTTCTATATCTGGTTAGTAAACAAAATTAAAATCTTTTTGGATGTCAATTGCTAGCAAATGAAAACTGCTTTTGTCTGGGACCAAGCTCACAGTATCTGATCTTGATTGTGAGGTGCTTCAGGAAAATGCGACAACTTTGGATGAATTCAAATTCATTCTCTGCAGAGTCTGGTGGAAAAATGTTTGCAAGGCATTTGTGAGGCTTCCCAGATCTTTGTCTTGCTTGGCTGGATTTACATTAATCTCACTTTGGTGTCTGAAGGAGACTCCAGGGCAGGTATATATTTTTTATTCTTCTTTTTTTTAATGAGGAGTTTTCTCCCTCAGTTTCTCCTTAAAATTTATTCATGGTTGTTTTTTCTTGCTGAGCATAGGAAATTCTGTGCCGTCCTCAGCAGTGTGTAGTACATTCCAATGCTGAACAACAGTGTGCCTTCATGTTCAGATTCGGAATTGCGAAATAGCTCTGGTAAGGCTTCTGCCTAGAAGTTTTGGTAAAAAAGCTGCCTCAAATTGGTGTTCAAGCTCTATTCTGAACACTGGTTATTGAAGCTTAGAAAAGGAAAAAGATGCTTATGGTGTGGTAAGCATTTACTTTGTTGTAGCCTTTGTTATAAGCTTTCTGAAGGTGTTTTCTTTGCAGTCCATCCCCTTAGAAAGCTCACAGGTGCTGGAAAGTCCTGGAGAGGGTTGATGCAGCAGACAAATCTGTTCTGTGAACCACATTACTTATTCCAGATGTTCATTGCAGTCTTGGAGAGTACTAAAGAAGTGGTTAAGGTGTGTGCTGAGATGCCTTCATATGGAATTCTACCAAACTCATCACACCTTACGATGTTTGTTTGGACTTTATTCAGGTTTCCATTTACTCATGGGATAAAGAAAATAAGGTCAAATATATGAAAAACAAAGGGAAAGAGGTATCGACCTACATTTTCCTTTGCTCCTGTTTAGCAAGTACCAGGATAGTTTAATAATTCAGTGCTGATCAAGCCAGAGAAAACATGAAATGACTTCAGCTAAAAGGTTAAGATATTCCCTTCAAGTTAAGGAGTCCTAGTCTCCAAACTCTGTTTCAGCACTGTGTATTTTATTTACTGTTTATGTAAAATCAAGAAATAACCCTGAAAGTACACAGTTTTTCCCCAGATGAATATAAGTATAGGAAAAGTGTGTTTATAGTTTCTCTTAGCTTTCTCTAAGTGCTGGGGTTGTTCTGATATATTTTCTAAAACCTGATCTTTTCCAGTATGAAGAGGAGCTGTGCTTCTATTTTATAAAGGTTTGGGGGGTTTTATTAGTTGAACACTGGAACAAATCTTCTGTCATTTCACTGTAAAAGAGGAAGATTTTGGTTGCAGAAGTAACATCCATGCAATCTACTTGTTATTTGATGACGGAATTTTATCAAGGGGTTCCCAGGAGCCCTCTAAAAGCTGTGCTGAATTTGAACTGTTTTTCTGCTTGTGTGCATCTGCCTCTAAACCTAAAAACATTAGTTTTAAAACATGTCCTGAAATTTTTGGGAACAAATTCATCAGCAGTATAAACTGACTTATGGGAGGAGAGTTACAGCAGGAACATATTTGGTCTCCCGCCAGCAACCTGTTCAAGTCATATGACATCGAAATTGAGACTTTCACCAAAATGTTGATTTGACCCAATTATTTAACTTTTGCCCAAATACAATATCTGTTTTGTCACATGAAAAGTAAGTTATTACTCAGTATATGCAGAATCTGTAATGTTCATATATATGAAGACATATAGTCATAGAGCAGTTAGGGTTGGAAAAGACCTTAAAATCATCAAGTTCCAACCCCCCTGCCATGGGCAGGGACACCTCACACTAAACCATGTCACCCAAGGCTCTCTCCAAGCTGGACTTGAACATCGCCAGGGATGGAGCATTCACAGCCTCTTTGGGCAACCCATTCCAGTGCCTCGCCACCCTCAATATAAAGAACTTCCTCCTTATATCCAATCTAAACTTCCCCTGTTTAAATTTTAACCCGTTACCCCTTGTCCTATCACTGCAGTCCCTTATGAAGAGTCCATCCCCAGCATCCTTGTAGGCTCCCTTCATATACTGGAAGACTGCTATGAGGTCTCCACGCAGCCTTCTCTTCTCCAGGCTGAACAGCTCCAACTTCCTCAGCCTGTCTTCATACGGGAGGTGCTCCAGTCCCCTGATCATCCTCATGGCCCTCCTCGCTCCAACAGCTCCATGTCCTTTTTATGTTGAGGACACCAGAACTGCACACAATACTCCAGGTGAGATCTCACAAGAGCAGAGTAGAGGGGCAGGATCACCTCCTTTGACCTGCTGGTCACGCTCCTTTTGATGCAGCCCAGGATACAGTTGGCTTTATGGGCTGCAAGCACACACTGCCGGCTCATGTTCATTTTCTGATCGACCAACACCCCCAAGTCCTTCTCTGCAGGGCTGCTCTGAATCTCTTCTTTGCCCAACCTGTAGCTGTGCCTGGGATTGCCCCAGCCCAGGTGTAGGACCCTGCACTTGGCATGGTTAAACTTCATGAGGTTGGCATCAGCCCACCTCACAAGTGTGTCAAGGTCCCTCTGGATGGCATTCCTTCCCTCCAGTGTATCAACCAAACCACACAGCTTGGTGTCATCGGCAAACTTGCTGAGGGCGCACTCAATCCCACTGTCCATGTCACCGACAAAGATGTTAAACAAGACCGGTCCCAACGTTTGGGAAACGGGAGAGGTGCCGGAAGACTGGAGGAAAGCAAATGTCACTCCAGTCTTCAAAAAGGGCAAGAAGGAGGACCCGGGTAACTATAGACCGGTCAACCTCACCTCCATCCCTGGGAAAGTGATGGAACACCTTATCCTTGGTGCCATCTTAAGGCATATCAAGGATAAGAGGGTTATGAGGGGCAGTCAACATGGCTTCACCAAGGGGAAATCATGTTTGACCAATCTCTTAGCCTTTTATGAGGAAATAATACGGTGGATGGATGATGGCGGAGCGGTGGATGTGGTCTACCTTGACTTCAGCAAAGCATTTGACACAGTCTCCCACAGCATCCTCACAGCTAAATTGAGGAAGTGTGGTCTGGATGATCAGGTAGTGAGGTGGACTGTGAACTGGCTGAAGGAGAGAAGCCAGAGAGTTGTAGTCTATGAGGCGGAGTCTAGCTGGAGGCCTGTGACTAGTGGAGTGCCTCAAGGGTCAGTACTGGGACCAGTATTATTTAATATATTCATCAATGATTTAGATGAGGGAATTGAGTGTACTATCAGCAAGTTTGCTGATGACACTAAGCTGGGAGGAGTGGCTGACATCCAGAGAGATGTCAGAGACCTGGACAGGCTGGAGAGTTGGGCAGGGAATAACTTGATGAAATATAACAAGGGAAAGTGTAGAGTCCTGCATCTGGGCAGGAACAACCCCAGGTTCCAGTATAGGTTGGGAAACGACCTGTTAGAGAGCAGTGTAGGGGAGAGGGACCTGGGGGTCCTAGTGGACGACAGGATGACCATGAGCCAACACTGTGCCCTTGTGGCCAAGAAGGCCAATGGCATCCTAGGGTGTATTAGAAGGGGGGTGGTTAGTAGGTCGAGAGAGGTCCTCCTTCCCCTCTACTCTGCCCTGGTGAGACCGCATCTGGAATATTGTGTCCAGTTCTGGGCCCCTCAGTTCAAGAAGGACAGGGACCTGCTGGAGAGAGTCCAGCGCAGGGCAACGAAGATGATTAAGGGAGTGGAGCATCTCCCTTATGAGGAAAGACTGAGGGAGCTGGGTCTCTATAGTTTGGAGAAGAGGAGACTGAGGGGTGACCTTATTAGTGTCTATAAATATATAAAGAGGGAGTGTCACGAGGATGGAACCAGGCTCTACTCAGTGGCAAACAATGATAGGACAAGGGGTAATGGGTACAAACTGGAACACAAGAGGTTCCACTTAAACTTGAGAAGAAACTTCTTCTCAGTGAGGGTGACGGAACACTGGAACAGGCTGCCCAGGGAGGTTGTGGAGTCTCCTTCCCTGGAGACATTCAAAACCCACCTGGACACATTCCTGTGTAACATTATCTAGGTGTTCCTGCTCCGGCAGGGGGATTGGACTAGATGATCTTTTGAGGTCCCTTCCAATCTCTAGCATACTGTGATACTGTGTAACACCAATCCCTGAGGAACACCACTCATTATTGATCTCCAGCTGGACATTGAGCTATTGACCACAACTCTGCATGCTACCATCCAGCCGGTTCTTTATCTACTGAGTGGTCCATCCATCAAATTGATGTCTCTCCAATTTAGAGACAAGGATGTTGTGTGGGACAGTGTCAAACGCTTTGCACAAGTCCAGGTAGATGGCATCAGCTGCTCTACCCCTGTCCATCAGTTCTGTAGCCCCATCGTAGAAGGCCACCAAATTGGTCAGGCAGGATTTCCCCTTAGTGAAGCCATGCTGGCTGTCACCAAGCACCTTGTTGATTTTCATGTGCCTTAGCATGCCTTCCAGGGGAATCTGCTCCAAGATTTTGCCAGGCACAGAGGTGAGACTGATGGGTCTGTAGTTCCCTGGGTCATCCATATATTTAGATACAAAGTGTAGTACAGCTGTGCCTATACTGACTGCTAGGGAGGGACTTGTGCCTGTCCTCCCTGTCCCCATACCTGGGAAAGGAGCCAGAGTCCAGCAGAGCCATGAGGTGCTTCTATCAGAGCCAGTGACTGGGGACCAGTACCTCAGGTCAGAGACTGCAAGGCATTTTTTAATCAGGACATAGCAGCCAGGAACTTCAGGATTTGTAAGTCTCTCTCAGGATTAACAATCCAGTGACTCCCTGGAGAGGCTGGATCCTCTTCTGTTTTCTAGGTAAGACTCTTTTTACATCACTAATCAAATAATTCACTTAATGTGACCTCACAGTGACATGTATGTTTTGCTGTGGCCCTGCAATATTCTGTTAACACCAGGGTAATGCGGCTCACATCTGAACTACATAAATTGTTAAAGCAGAATTTTCTCGTAGCTCTCACTGAAGCTCTCCCGCCTTTGCGTGGTTTTGTCTTATGTTGTGTCTTGGAAAGACCACTATCCTGCTTTTACACAGTGCCTTTCAGCTAAAGACTTTAGAAGTATTCACAGAACTATTTTCATCTTCATTACCCAAATGAAAAAATCATGAAGCAAGCAGATGATACGTGCATGATGCGCAGGTGACAGTTAGCTAATGAGTAGCTGACCTGGGAGTGGAGTGTAGACCTATGGTTCTTTGCACTGAGCAGTCATTTGTGTTTCAGTACACAGAAAGTTGATAAGGGCTGGTATCAACTTGTTCTCCTGAAGGAATGAAGGCTCAATCTAGCATTTCAGAGAAGGAGGAGACATAATTTGGCAGCTGCTTTGTCATGTGCAGAACATAAATCAAGACAGTTTCTTTTTCCCAGGCTTGAGAGATGAGTCTTTGCACACAAGCTTCCTCATAGCTGCTTCTAAAAACTGCTCAGCCTTCTTCATTTCTCGAATATGATCGTAGCTGCACTGAAATGCTCCCAGTTTGCTGAACTGTGATTGCAGAGTGGATTCAGATATGCAAACATCTCGTGGGAAGTACAGGAGTGTGCTCTCACTGCATCTGTGATGGATGTCCTTCCATGACAGCTAATGATCATGCTCCTGACTGAATCAGCAAGCAGCTTCTTGCAGGAATAAAGGGCTCTAAACTGTAACTTAAATGTTGGATAATAAAACAATGAAAAACAGTGAAACCATAGAAAAAAATGTAAGCTATTTCTTTTTTCTAACATGGTCCCTTAGCTGAAAACTCAATTATTAGCACAACTGTCTGTATAAATACAACCAAGGACCTATTACCAGCTATCCAGTTTTTCAAGTTGTGACTTAATTAAAAACTGGCCTGTTAAAATCTAAGAGATAACTGTATCTTTTTAAATTACTACATTTTTAACAGTAGGTAATTTCCTAGCTTATTTTCTTACCCTAGTCTCTACACTCTAGCCTATACTCCTGGGCTTATAGTAATTCTGCTTGCTAGCTGTCAGAAACTAATCAGCTTTTAATTCCTGGAAACCGAAGCAGGACACAGCAGAGACCATGCTGTTCCAGTTCTTGTTTTAATAGAGTTCTTGGCTGTCTTTATGTCCTCTCAGCATCCCTGACTGAAAAGCCTTCCCCACTCCTCCTTTATGCTCAATATCACATCTTGACCTGAAAGCCCTGTTGCTGTTATCCTCTGTAGACTGATGAAAATACACTCAGATGGGAAACCTGCTGGTTAACTCTCTGTGAGACTTTTTTGTTCAGTGTTTTTATGTTCTCATGTTGCATTGAAAACTTTCACTTGGTGATTGATAATGTAAGTTTGTAGCACCGTGAATTCAGAAAAGCACTTAAGCAAATGGTTATATTGATGTCAGGGTGATTGTGGACATGCTTAAATGAAACACGTTCATATGCTTTGATGGACTGAGTACTTTCCCGGAACAGGGAAATGAAGATATAAACCTTGGAAAAGAGATATACATCAAATAAAAAACCCAGGCCTCCCAAACCATTGATATCTTCATAATCCATGTGAAAACATTATTTCTTGATATGCATTCATAAAGCGACATATTTAGCCATATTGAGAGGGATGTTAGAATTGCATTTCCAGAGCTTATTTGCACACATGTAAATACGCATGATGTTACAATGAAATGGAAAGGGTGAGATAACTATGTAACAGGTTGCATTTCAAAACTAGATTTATTGAGAGTAGTGGCATTGAATTGTGTAAAGATGGATGGTTAGAGGAAAACCGCAGTTTTCTATATGTATGGTTGATTTTCTCTGTTTAAAATGTTGACGAAGGAAAAGAGAACC